TTATGATATGATATTATTTTCTTCCTGGGCCTATTGATTCACCTTCTATATATTCTTGGAATAACAGGTTTGTTATTCCAAGGAGGAAACAGAGGATTATTTGAATGCAATTTGCATAATTGCTTTTTAATTATAAGGAGGAGAGAAACCAAGGCAGGAAAAACATGCTCCTCCCGTTTTGAGGCTTACTTTGGGTGAATTAGAGAGAGAGAGAGAGAGAGAGAGATACACATACATACATATATACATACACATATGGAAAATATAATAAGAAAAAATATAAAGGGAAAATATATGAATAGAAAATATAAAGGGAAAATATAGTAAGAAAAATACAATAAGAATTTTAAAATGGAAAATATAATAAGAAAGAATAGGAAGGGAAAATCAGTTTAAAAATAATCAACATTTTAAAAATATAGAGAGGAAAATCAGTTTAAAAAATAATCAGAAAAATAATAACAATCCTGGCCTATGTAACCATAATAATAATAATCTAAATAATAATAATAATAATAATAATGGTCTAAATAATAATAATAATAATGGTCTAAATAATGGTCTAAATTATCCTTGACTATATAAGAATAATAATCTAACATATAATTATAATAATATACATAATAATAACTCTGGTCTAAATAATAAACCTGGTCTAAATAATAATAATAATAATAATAATAATGGTCTATATAATCATGATGATGATGATGATGATGATGATGATGATCAATGTGTTTTAGGGAAACTTCCTTCCTTCCTTATAATAATAATCCTTGTCTGCATCATCATCTTCTTCGTCTATATAATAATAATAATGGTTAAATAATAATAATCCTTGTGTATATAATAATGTTAATACTGGCCTTAATAATAATAATAATAATAATAATAATAATCCTGGTCTATATAATAATAACCTAAATAATAATAATGATCTAAATAATAATATTTCTGGTCTGTGTAATAATAATAATAATAATCCTGATCTAAATAGTAATAATAATAATAATAATTTTCTTACTTATAATAATAATAATACAGCATTGCATGGGCAGTTCCTTGACAAAATTGAAGGAAAGGTTGACAGGGAGAAGACTTGGATATGGCTCATGAATGGAACATTGAAGCAGACAGTAGGCCTGATTCTTGCAGCCCAGGACCAAGCCACCCAAACAAATGCCATGAAGGCCAGGATTGAAAAATCAGCTGATGACCCAACATGCAGACTGTGCAAGAAAGCTGATGAAACCATTGATCATATCCTCAGCTGTTGCAAAAAAAATCACATAGACGGATGACAAACAAAGACACAACTCTGTGGCCCAAATGATTCATTGGAACTTATGTCACAAGTACCACCTGCCAGCAGTAAAGAATTGGTGGAATCATAAACCTGCAAAGGCAGTGGAAAATGAACACGCAAAAATACTGTGGGACTTTCGAATCCAGACTGACAAAGTTTTGGAACACAATACACCAGACATCACAATTATTGAAAATAAAAAAGTTTGGATTATTGATGACACCATACCAGGTGACAGTCGCATTGAGGAAAAACAACAGGAAAAACTCAGCCGTTATCAAGACCTCAAAATTGAACTGCAAAAGCTCTGGCATAAACCAGTACAGGTGGTCCCAGTGGTCATCGGCACACTGGGTGCTGTGCCAAAAGATCTCAGCCGGCATTTGGAAACAATAAACATTGACAAAATCACAATCTGTCAACTGCAAAAGGCCACCTGATTTGGATCTGGGCGCATCATTCGAAAATACAGCACACAGTCCTAGACGCTTGGGAAGTGTTTGACTTGTGATTTTGTGAGACGAAATCCAGCATATAGATCTTGTTTGCTGTGACATACTGTGCTTTTGTGTCAGTATAGTAATAATGATGATGATAATCAGTGTGTTCTTGGGAAATCCTTCCTTCCTAATAATAATAACCCATGTCTTAATAATAATAATAATCATCATCATCATCTAAGTAATAATAGTAATAATAATTCTGGTCTAAATAATGAGAATGATAATAATCTGTGTGTTTTGGGGAAACCCTTTCCTTCCTAATAATAATAACAACAACAACAACAATCCTGGTTTAGAAAATAATAATAGTCTAAGTAATAATAATAATATTTATAATAACAATCTTATCTAAATAATAATAATGAGAATGATGCTTTGATACATCCTACCTCTCTTCATGCCCAGTGTTTATTTTAAAATTTTAAACTATTACATCTGGCCCGGCCATAGGTTTTTAAATTTTAAAAAAAATTGTGCATGTAATATGCCAGCAAATATGGAAAACACAAGAGTGGCCATCAGACTAGAAAAAATCAACTTATATCCTCATACCAAAAAAGGGAAATGCTAAAGACTGCTCAAACTTTTGTACAGTGGCCCTTATTTCTCATGCCAGTAAGGTAATGCTCAAGATCCTGCAAGGAAGACTCCAGCAAGACATGGAGCGAGAGTTGCCAGATGTACAAGCTGGGTTTAGAAAAGGCAGAGGAACGAGAGACCAAATTGCCAATATCCGCTGGATAATGGAGAAAGGCAGGGAGTTTCAGAAAAACATCTACTTCTGCTTCATTGACTACTCTAAAGCCTTTGACTGTGTGGATCATAATAAATTGTGGCAAGTTCTTGGTGGTCTGGGGATATCAAGCCACCTTGTCTGTTTCCTGAGGAATCTGTAGAAGGACCAAGTAGCAACAGTCAGAACTGACCACGGAACAACAGACTGGTTCAAGATTGGGAAAGGCGTACGGCAAGGCTGCATACTCTCACCCAACCTTTTTAACTTGTATGCAGAACACATCATGCGGTGTGCGGGGCTTAGCGAATGCAAGGCTGGGGTGAAAACTGCTGGAAGAAACATTGACAACCTTAGATATGCAGATGATACCATTTTGATGGCCGAAAGCGAGGAGGAGCTGAGGAGCCTTCTAATCAAGGTGAAAGAAGAAAGCGCAAAGGCTGGGTTGCAGTTAAACATAAAAACCCCCAAGATTATGGCAAAAAGAATGATTGACAACTGGGAAATAGAGGGAGAAAACGTGGAGGCCGTGGCAGACTTTGTATTTCTAGGTGCAAAGATTATGGCAGACGCAGACTGTAGCCAGGAAATCATGAGACGCTTACTTCTTGGGAGGAGAGTGATGTCCAATCTCGAAAAAATAGTGAAGAGTAGACACATCACACTGGCAACGAAGATCTGCATTGTCAAAGCAATGGTATTCCCTGTAGTCACTTACGCATGTGAGACCTGGACCATAAGGAAGACTGAGTGAAGGAAGATCGATGCTTTTGAACTGTGGTGTTGGAGGAAAGTTCTGAGAGTGCCTTGGACCGCGAGAAGATCCAACCAGTCCATTCTTCAGGAAATAAAGCCCGACTGCTCATTGGAGGGAAGGACAGTAGAGGCCAAGATGAAGTCCTTTGGCCACATCATGAGAAGACGGGAAAGCTTAGAGAAGACAACGATGCTGGGGAAAATGGAAGGAAAAAGGAAGAGGGGCCAACCAAGGGTAAGATGGATGGATGGCATCCTTGAAGTGACTGGATTGACCTCAAAGGAGCTGGGAGTGGTGACGGCCAACAGGGAGCTCTGGCGTGGGATGGTCCATGAAGTCACAAAGAGTCAGAAATAGCGGAACGAATGAACAATAACAACATCTGGCCTGGCCATAGGTTTGTGTGTTATTGCCTATAAGTGATTTATATTAATTGTATTGTTTTATTTGCTTATTGCTTTGTTGTTTTACTGATGTGTTGTTGGGCTTGGCTTCATGTAAGCCACCCCGAGTCCCCTTGGGGAGATGGTGGCGGGGTATAAATAAAGTTTTCTTATATTATTCTTATTATTATCAGTGTGTTTTGGGGAAACCCTTTCCTTCCTTTCTTCCTTCTAATAATAATAACCCTGATTTATATAATAATAATAATAATAATAATAGTCTATATAAATAAAAATGTAATGTTCGTTTGTGGTATTCACAGAACTCAAAAACCCCTGGATGAATTGGCACCAAATTTGGACACGATACACCTAACAACCCAATGTATGTCCTTCACTCAAAAAAAAAAAATGATTTAGTCATTTGGGAGTTGTAGTTGCTGGGATTTATAGTTCACCTACAATCAAAGAGCATTCTGAACCCTACCAACAATGGAATTGAACCAAACTTGGCACACAGTTCTCCCATGACCAACAGAAAATACTGGAAGGGTTTGGTGGGCAGTGTCCTTTGGTTTTGGAGTTGTAGTTCACCTACATCCAGAGATTACTGTGGAGTCAAACAATGATGGATCTGGACCAAACTCTACAAGAATACTCCATATGCCCAAATGTGAACACTGGTGGAGTTTGGGGAAAATAGAATCTTGACATTTGGGAGTTGTAGTCACTGGGATTTATAGTTCACCTACAATCGAAAAGCATTCTGAACCCCACCAAGGATAGAATTGGGCCAAACCTCCCACACAGAACCCCCATGAGGGCCACGGCAACGCGTGGCAGGGGACGGCTAATAATAATAATAAAAAAAAGTCTAAGTAATAATAATAATAATAATCCTGGTCTTAATAAAAATAATAGTTTGTAGTATTATTATTACTGTTATTATTAATCAGTGTATTTTGGGGAAACCCTTTCCTTCCTTCATTCTAATAATAATAATAACTCTGATTTATATAATAATAATAATAATAAGTCTAAGTAATAATAATAATAATAATAATCTTGGTCTTAATAAAAATAATAGTTTGTAGTATTATTATTATTAATCAGTGTGTTTTGGGGAAACCCTTCCCTTCCTTCCTTCCTTCATTCTAATAATAATAACCCTGATGTATATAATAACAATAATAATAAGTCTAAGCAATAATAATAATAATAATCCTGGTCTTAATAAAAATAATTGTATTATTATTATTGTTATTATTATGAATCAGTGTGTTTTGGGGAAACCCTTTCAATTCCTTCCCTCCTACCTATCTCTCCCATCCTTCCATTCAATCCTTCCTTCCTCCTGACAGGCCTCCAGTCTTCCTGGAGGCGCGGGCGTGAGGCGGTGCCGGGCACCCTTTCAAGACTACGGGAGCCCGGGGCTTGGGCTGGGCCTAGCTCCTTCCCTCCCTCCCTCCCTCCTCGGGCCCGTGCCCCGCCCCTCTCTCCCCAGCCTGCATTTCCCTCCCTGTCCCGCCACCCTTTCCCCGCTCTTCTTCTCCCGGTTCTGCTCCGGAGAGCGGCAGGCGAGCAGGCTCAGCGGGGGGTGACCAGGCCTCGGATCCAAAATGGCGGCTCCGGCCCTGACGGGGTCGCTTCGCGCTGCGCTGCAGCCGAGCAAGAAGGCGGTCCCGCCGGGCAGCCTCATCTCTTGGACGAAGGGAGGCCGGCAAGACAGGTACCTGAGACCTGGAGGCAGGGCCAGGGCGGAGGGAAGCGGGGATGGAGGCAGCGAGGAGGAGAGCCAAGCGCCCAGCACGGGGGGCGGCAGAGGAGGGAGGAGGTCTCCATTCACAGACCTCACACAGGAGGAGCCTTCGTCGTGTCTCAGTCTTACTCTTCTAGAGAGCTATTGGGGAGTTGTGAGTTTTCCAAGCTATATCACCATGTTCCAGAAGCATTCTCTCCCGACGTTTCGCCTACATCTATGGCAAGCATCCTTAGAGGTTGTGCGTTCTGTTGGAAACTAGGAAAATGGGGTTTATATATCTGTGGAACAATATCCAGGGTGGGAGAAAGAACTCTTGTCTGTTGGAAGTAAGGGGGAATGTTGCAATTTGCCACCTTTATAAGCATTTAATGGCCTAGCAGTGTCAAGGTCTGGCTTCTTACTGCCTGGGGGAATGCTTTGTTGGGAGGTGATTAGCTGGCCCTGATTGTTCCTTGTCTGGAATTCCCCTATGTTTGAATATTCTTTATTTACTGTTATGATTTTAGAGGGTTTTTTAAAATACTGGTTTCCAGTGGGTTAAAGCACTGAGCTACTGAGCTTGTAGACCAAAAGGTCGCAGGTTCGAATCCGGGGAGCGGCGCGAGCTTCCGCTGTCAGCCCCAGCTTCTACCAACCTAGCAGTTCAAAAACATACAAATGTAAGTAGATCAATAGGTAGCGCTCCAACGGGAAGGTAACGGCGCTCCATGCAGTCATGCCAGCCAAATGACCTTGGAGGTGTCTACGGGCAATGCCGTCTCTTTGGCTTAGAAATGGAGATGAACACAACACCGCAGAGTCGGACACGACTGGACTTCATGTCAGGGGAAAACCTTTACCTACCTTTACCTATCCAGATTTTGTTCATCTTCATGGTTTCCTCCTTTCTGTAAGGCAGTAAGAAGCCAGACTTTGAAACAGCTAAGCCATTAAATGCTAATCAAGGTGACCAATTGAAACAGTCACACCTACTCCAACAGACAAGACTTCTTTTTCCCACCCTGGACATTCCACAGATATATAAACCCCATTTTCCTAATTTCCAACAGACCTCACAGTCTCTGAGGATGCCTGCCATAGATTCAGGTGAAACGTCAGGAGAGAATGCTTCTGGAACATGGCGATATAGCTCGGAAAACTCACAACTCCCCAATAGCAATAACAATGCTCTCTATAAGAGTAAGACTGAGACGACTAAGGCTTTTCCTGTGTGTACAGCCCGGAAAATTCACAACAATCCAGTGATTCTGGCCATGAAAGCCTTTGGCAATACATTATTGCTATTATACTGCACACTATTATTATATAGAATATTATAATTATTATATAAAACTTTATTATATAGACTATTATTATGATAATTATTATATAAAATTGGTTATTCCTATTTTATAGGACAATATTAATGAGAACTTTATTCAACTTGATATTATGAACATTATTATTATCTACACTATTATGTAGGACATTATTATGATAGAAAATATTACTATTATTCTTGATATTATATAGAACATTATTATTATATAGGACATTGTTATTATTAATGAAAATATTGTTCTGATATAGGACATTACTATTATATAGGCTATTATTATTATAGAGAACATTATTATTATTATTATTATTATTATTATAGAGAACATTATTATTGTACAGATTATTATAATGCCTTCACAGGCACACAAGGACAATTTTCTTATTATATAGACTATTATTATACAGAACATTATTATTATTGTTATCATTATTATTATTATATAGAACATTATTATATTTTATGTTACATATGTAATGCAATATAATTTAATATAAATTATATGTATAACTAGCCACCCCCTGCCACGCGTTGCTGTGGCCCAGTCTGGTAATCTGGAAAATAAAGTAATGAGAAGGTGTTGGTTTGTAATATATGTAATTTCTTTATGCTTGTGGGTAAACAATATTTTTTGTTGTTCCTTTGTCAGTGTTAATGTGCAGATTGTCTGGTTTGCCTACTCTGGAACATGCAACATATAATTGTCCTGCTTTAGGGGACCCTTTCAAATCTATGAAACTATATCTGTGTGTGTGTGAATCCTATCTATTTATATCTATGTCTGGATGGCTCTTTGTCAGGAAGGCTTTGATTACGTTTTCTTGCCCTGGTGAAGGGAGTTGGACTGGTTGGCCTTAAGTATGGGGGTTCTGTGTGGGAAGTTTGCCCCAATTCTGTCTTTGGTGGGGTTCAGCATGCTCTCTGATTGTAGGTGAACTATAAATCCCAGTAACTACAACTCCCAAATGTCAAGGTCTATTTCCCCCAAACTCCATCTGTGTTCATATTTGGGTATATGGAATATTCGTGCCAATTTTGGTCCAGTTCCATCATTGTTTGAGTCCACAGTGCTCTGTATAGGTGAACTACAACTCCCAAACTCAAGGTCAATGCCCACCAAAATCTTCCAGTATTTTCTGTTGGGCATGGCAATCCTGTGTGCCACATTTGGTTCAATTCCATCATTGGTGGAGTTCAGAATGCTCTTTGATGTGAGTAGTAAGTAAACTATAAATCCCAGCAACTACAACTCCCAAATGACAAAATCAATTTTTTGAGTGATGGTCACTCCTTGGGTTAGTAGGTGTCTTGTGTCCAAATTTGGCGGCAATTCGTCCAGTGGTTTTTGAGTTATATTAATCCCACAAACGAATATTACATTTTTATTTATATAGATATACATAGTATTTATAATATCATATAGTTTATATATTATTTATATGTAATATATTATACTATTGTATATATCAGGGGTCTTCAAACTATGGCCCGGGGGCCAGATATAGCCCTCCAGGGTCATTTACCCGGCCCTCGCTCAGGGTCAGCCTAAGTCTGAAACAACTTGGAAGCACACAACAACAACAGCAACAACAACAGTTCTATCTCGTCAGCCAAAAGCAGGCCTACACTTCCCATTGAAATACTAATAAGTGTATATTTATTAAAATGGTTCTTCATTTTAATTATCGTATTGTTTTAAGTGGGGTTTTCTTTTGAACTAGAAATAAGATATGTGCAGTGGGCATAGGAATTCATGGTTTTTTTTCAAATTATAATCCAGCCCTCTGTTTAAAAGGTTTGAGGACCCCTGGTATATATTATATATAAACACATACACACACACACACGTGTGTGTGTGTGTGTGTGTATACTAGCCGTACCCTGCCACGTGTTGCTGTGGCCCACATGGGGGTTCCTTTTGGGAGGTTTGGCCCAATTCTATCGTTGGTGGGGTTCAGAGTGCTCTGTGATTGTAGGTGAACTATAAATCCCAGCAACTACAACTCTCAAATGTCAAGATTCTGTTTCCCCCAAACTACACCAGTGTTCACATTTGGGCATATTGAGTATTCATGTAGAGTTTGGTCCAGATCCATCATGGTTTGAGTCCACAGTCATCTCTGGATGTAGGTGAACTACAACTCCAAAACCAAAGTACACTGCCCACCAAACCCTTCCAGTATTTTCTGTTGGTCATGGGAGTTCTGTGTGCCAAGACTGGTTCAATTCCGTCGTTGCTGGAGTTCAGAATGGTCTTTGATTGTAGGTGAACTATAACTCCCAGCAACTACAACTCCCAAGTGTCAAGGTTATTTTCCCCAAACTCCACCAGTCTTCATATTTGGGCATACTGAGTATTTGTGCCAAGTCTGGTCCAGATCCATCATTGTTTGAGTCCACAGTGCTCTCTGGATGTAGGTGAACTACAACTCCAAAACTCAAGGTCAGTGTCCACCAAACGCTGCTAGCATTTTCTGTTGGTCATGGGAGACCTGTGTGCCAAATTTGGTTCAATTCCATCATTGGTGGGGTTCAGAATGGTCTTTGATTATAATTTTTTGAGTGATGGTCACTCCTTGTGTAGTGAGACGTTTGGTTGCCAAATTTGGTATGATTTCGTTCATTGGTTCTTTTGTTTTTAAGGAACTCATTATGCACAGAGCATTTTATATATAGAGAGATTTTCTATATATATATATATATGTATGTATATGTATATGTATGTATATATATAATCTCCTATTTCAAGGCCTTTCTCGGATTTCCTTGGCGCCCCTAGCAACCTTCAGGCCTATTAATATCCCTCAATTAAAGATCATTTTAAGCCTGAGTTCAATGAGAGCAAAGGGTCAGCAGGTTTCCCGTGTACCTTCTCCCTTATTCCTCTAAATCAATCAAACCGAGACTGTGGGACATTCCCTTCTGTGAGCTGTGCTCTTGTTCTTATGTATCTTGCTCCCCTAGGGCCCTGTCCATACATTATGTTGGGCCTGTCCATGCAGCCAACTATCTAAAGAACTTGACTGTTGCCAAATACCGCTGCCTGTTTTCCAAGGCAAGGTGCAATCTGCTCCCATCTGAGTTGCTGCGTGGGAGATTTGTGGGTACCCCACATAATGAAAGACTCTGCCGATATAACAAACAGGAAGTAGAAGGCACCTGCCACATTCCACTGTCAAGCAGTTTCTATGAACAGGTCTGAGCACACATAATCAACCCCCTACTTAGAGACTTACCTGCAAGTCCAGTGAAATTTTATGCAAAATTTCTACTTGGTGATGACCTTCCCCACGTGACCTTGGCAGTAGCCAAGTTTCTTTCTGTGGCAGCCAGAATTAGACCATTCCCAATTTTAGACACATGCTGTGTATAGATGTGTGTGTAAGTATGTGTGTGTGTGTGTGTGTGTATATATATATATATATATATACACACACACACACACACACACACACATACACATACATACACACATACAAATACATACAAATACATACATACATATACTTACACATAATAAATACATATATATTTATTGTAGTCATTTAGCCCCAAAAAGCTAAATGACGGAAAGCTAAATGACAATACAGAAAAAAGAGAAGAAAGTCGGAGGGAAGGGGAGAAAAAAAAGAAAGAAAAGAAAAGAAAGAGGGAGGGAGGGAAGGAAAGAAGGAAAGGGAGAAGGAAGCATGGAAGCAAAGAGAGAAGGAAGGAAGGAAAGAGGTAGAGAAGGAAGAAAGGAGAGAAAGAGGGAGGGAAAGAAAAAGGGGGAAGGAAGGAAAGCTAGAGAAGGAAGGAAGGAAGGAGAGAAGGAAAGATAAAAGGAAAAGAAGGAAGGAAAGAGGGAGCGAAGGAAGGGGGAAGATGTAGAGAAAGAGGGAGCGAAGGAAAGAGAGAAGGAAGAAAAGAGAGACAGCAGAAGAGAAAGAAAAAGGGGGGAGGAAGGAAAGAGATAGAGAAGGAAGGAAGAAGAGAAGGAAAGACAGGAAAGCAGGAAGGAAAGAGGGAGTGAAGGAAGGAGGGAAAAAAGGAGAGAAAGAGGGAGGGTTGGCCACAGCAACGCGTGACGGGTACAGCTAGTCTATATAAATAAAAATGTAATGTTCGTTTGTGGGATTAACAGAACTCAAAAACCACTGGGCAAATTGACACCAAATTTGGACATAATACGCCTATAAGGCTAATGATTGACCATCACTCAAAAAATTGATTTTGTCATTTGGGAGTTGTAGTTGCTGGGATTTATAGTTCACCTAAAATCAAAGAGCACTCTGAACTCCCAACGATGGAATAGAACCAAACTTGGCACACAACATGACGAACAGAAAATACTGGAAGGGTTTGGTGGGCTTGACCTTGAGTTTTGGAGTTGTAGTTCACCTACATCCAGACAGCACTGTGGACTCAAAATGGATCTGGATCAAACTTGGCAAGAATACTCAAGTGTAAACACTGGTGGAGTTTGAGGAAAATAGATCTTGACATTGAGAGTTGTATTTGCTGGGATTTATCGTTCACCTACAATGAAATAGCATTCTGAACCCCACCAACAAAAGTATTGGGCCAAACTTTCCATACAGAAACCCCATGACCCACAGAAAATACTGTGATTTCTGGTGGTCTTCTGAGACCCTTCTTATACCCACTCACAACCCCCTCAGGGGTCCCGACCTTCAGGTTGAGAAATGCTTCCTAAAGGCCATCCAGTCCAACTCCCTTCACAAGGGCAAGAAAACATAATCAAAACCCTCCTGAGAAAGAGCCATCCAGCCTAGATATAGATAAATAGATATGATTCACACACACACACAGATATATATGCCAGATATAGTATCATAGATTTCAAAGGGACCTCTAAAGACGGACAATGATATGTTGCATGTTCCAGAGTAACCAAACCAGACATTCTCTACATCAACACTGACAAGAAATACTGTTTACGCACAAGCCAAAACTATTTTCCAGGTCACCAGACTGGGCCACAGCAACACGTGGCAGAGGGCATATATAAATAAAAATGTAATGTTTGTTTGTGGGATTAACAGAACTCAAAAACCACTGGACAAATTGCCGTCAAATTTGGTCACAAGACACCTCCTAACCCAAGGAGTGACCATCACTCCAAAAAATTGATTTTGTCAATCAAGTCCAACTCCCTTCACCAGGGCAAGAAAATGTAATCAAAGCCCTCCTGACAAAGAGACATCCAGCCACAGATATAGAATAGATATCTATGATTCACACACACATAAATATAGTATCATAGATTTGAAAGGGACCCCTAAAGAAGGACAATGATATGTTGCATGTTCTAGAGTAGGCAAACCAGACAATCTCTACATCAACACTGACAAAAAAGCAGCAAGAAATACCACAAGCATAAAGAAATTACATATATCAGAAACAAAGACAGCTAGTACAGTATAAAATAATATAATTTAAAATAATATAATATAATACACTATTTAATATAATGCAGTATAATACAATATAATGTAATACAGTCTAATGTACATGTAATAAAATATTCACTATATTAAATAATAAATAAATGTAATAATTATTATAATAATTATAATCTTTCCCTGCAACATTATATAGTTCCCTATGCATGCTTCCTTATAACATCATTATTATTATTATTATTATTATTATTGAATGATTGTGCTTGTCTTGTTCTCCTTTTTATTATTATTATTATAATAATAAATAGTCCGGTATGATGTTTGTCTTCTCTTTTTGCTTTCATATAACATAATATATATTTCCATATCTTTCCAGACTCTTCTTCAGCCATTGTGTCTCAGGGGCCAGAAATGAACCCATTAAGATGCTAACGAGACCCCCATTGCTCAGATTCGTTGGTAAGGATTATATATAGATATTTGAAAAATCAATACTACAATATAAAATCCTGAATTAAGGTACAGCTATATCGATCCATATTATTATATGTGTTTGTGTGTGTGAGTGTGTGTGCATATATATATATATATATTTACACACACACATACATGCTATAGATATATATAGTATAATTTTATTATTTTTATATATGTATATCATATATATTGTTTTATTTTTATATACTTTTATTATATATATTTTATGATTATTATACAACTGTATTATTTATTTACTATGTTTCTATACCGCCATTCTCAGCCCGAGGGCGACTCATGGCGGTTTAAAAAACGGCACAATTCAATGCCCACAACAGTACAAAAATAATTTAAACATTAAAATCATTTAACACAGGTAAAAATTCATTACAATTAACATCAGTAACACAATAAAAACCGTAAGTCCTCCGCATTTCATTACCAGTCATTATCCAGTCACGTTGTCCAACCGTTCCGAGATCAGAGTTTCAAAGCTACACTGCATTTGGAAAGGCCTGCTCATATAGCCAGGTTTTAACTTTTTTGCGAAACGTTAAGAGGTTGGGGGCTGATCTAATGTCCCTGGGGAGGGCATTCCACAAACAAGGGGCCACCGCTGACAAGGCCCTATCCCTCGTCCCCACCAATCGAGCCTGTGAAAATGGCAGGGCCGAGAGCAGGGCCTTCCCAGAAGATCTTAAATTCCTAGAGGGTTCTTAAGGAGAGATACATTCGGACAGGTAAGCAGGGCCAGAACCGTTTAGGGCTTTATAGGCTAAAGCTAGCACTTTGAATTGTGCTCAGTAGCAAATTGGCAGCCAGTGGAGCTGGCGCAACAGGGGAGTTGTATGCTCCCTGGGTGCCGCTCCTGTTAGCATCCCGGCTGCCGCCCGTTGGACCATTTGGAGCTTCCGAACAGTCTTCAAAGGCAACCCCACGTAGAGAGTGTTGCAGTAATCTATACGGGATGTAACCAGAGCGTGGACTACCGTGGCTAAGTCAGACTTCCCAAGGAATATACATAAAATGTAATTGCATTATTAATAGATATTATATACATTTTATTCTGCAATTATATATATATATATATATATATATACACACACACACACACACACACACACACATATACATACACTAGCTTGGGGACCCGGCGATGCCCAGGTTACTTGAGAAAGGCATTGTTTCTTTTTGGAAGTTTGGTAATATCTCTGGTGGGTCATTCTCCCCCAAACCACTCCATTATGTTATGTTGGCCTAGGTTATTTGAAAAAGGCACTGTTTGTTTGGGGGTGTTAGATAGTATTGGTTTGGTAATTTGTAGCTCTATTTCTTAGGAAAAAAGTCTTTCCTGTTGTTTTTTATGAATTTTCCCATTAGAAAATGCATAAGGATGTGGGTGAACTGCAATGCCCAAAATTGTGAGCCAATCACCCCAAACCCCAGCAGTGTTCAAAGTGGGCCATGTTGAGTCTGTGCGCCAGGTTTGGTCCAGATCTGACATCAGTTGTGTTCAGTGCTCTCTGGATAAGGGTGAACTACAACATCCAGATCAGATGCCATTCACCTCCAAACTCCGCCTTTATGCACAGTTGGTCATGTTGGGTCTGTGTGCCAGATTTGGTCCAGATCCATAGTCGACTGAGTTCAGGGCTCTCTGGATAATGGTGAACTACAACTCCCAGATCCAAGGCAATTCAACCCCAAAACCTGCCTGTATGCACAGTTGGGCATGTTGGGTCTGTGTGCCAAGTTTGGTGCAGATCTGACGTCAGCTGGGTTCAGTACTTTCTGGATAAGGGTGAACTACAACTCCCAACATCAAGGTCAATTCCCCCAACCCCCTGCAGTATGTTCAGTTGGCCATGGGGCTTCCCTGTGCCAAGTTTTGTCCTGGTCCATTGTCAGTGAAAGTCACAATTTTCCTGGATGAAGGTGAACTACCACTCTCATGAAGGTCAAATTCCCCCAAACATCTCCAGTATGTTCTCTTGGTCATGGGGAGTCTGTGTGCCAAGTTTGGTCCAGGTCCGTCATTTGTGGGGGTTGCAGTGGGCTTTGGGAGGTGAATTGGGTGAAGGTACTGCATATGCCATTGTCTGTGGTCCATCTTCCCACAAACCAAGACAGGTCGTATACTGTGTGCCAAGTTTGGTCCCGGTCCATCATTTGTGGAGGTTGCAGTGGTCTGTGTGGTCCAGATCCATTGTTGGTTGGGTTCACAGTGCTCTCTGGATGTAGGTGAGCTACAACTCCTCCAAATGATGGCGTATTCTTCCCAAACCTGTTGTTCAGTTGCTGATCAGTTCCTGTTTGCTGTGTGCCATAGGAAAGGGTAGGAAAGGGTGAAGGGGGAGGCAGTGGGCAGGGTCATGCAAATTTGGAGAGAGAAAGGAACCCTGGGATGTCCATTCTGGAGAAAAAACAGAACATCTAGGATGAAATGGTCCCCAAATGAAAGCATTCCTTGGGTGTTTTCTGTAGTGTTTGTGGAGGACATTGGCAGGGGTTGGGCTACATGTTCATGGCGCTCGCTATAACCTGCCATGTCCTTGGAGGGAGTGCCTTTGGAGGCTTCTCAGCACTTGGAACGATAGCCTGCTTCCAGCTTCAGGGATACCTAGATGACACTGACTTCCCAGACCAGTCTCAGTCTGGGTTTAGGCCTGGTCACAGTACCAAGATGGCTTTGGTTGCTTTGGTGGATGACCTCCTCAGGGAACTGGACAGGGGGAATGTGACCCTGCTGGTTCTCTTGGATGTCTCAGCGGCTTTCAATACCATTGATCATGGTATCATTCTTGGCCGCCTCTCTGGTATGGGACTCAGGGGCACGGCTCTGTTGTGGCTCTAGGCCTTCCTAGAGAGCCATTCCCAGTTGATGAAGCTGGGGGACACCTGCTTGGACACTTGGCCTTTGACCTGTTGGGTCCCACAAGGTTCCATTCTGTTCCCCATGCTTTTTAACATCTACATGAAACTGCCAGGAGAGGTCATCTGGAATTTTGGAGTTTGGTGCCATCTCTATGCGGATGACACCCAACTCTACTACTCTTTTCCACCCGAATCCAAGGAAGCCCCTCGGATACTATATGAGGGGGAACAAGTTGGAGATTAATCTTGACAAGACTGAGGACCTCCAGGTCAATCACAGCCCGGATTGGGGTATAGGGTGGCAGCCAGTGTTCAATGGGGTTGCACTCCCCCGAAGGCACAGGTCCGCAGTCTGGGGTTCTCCTAGATTCAGCACTAACACTTGACGCTCAGGTGTTGGCGGTGGCTGGGAGGGCCTTCGCACAATTAAAACCCGTGCGCCAGCTACAACCATACCTCGTGGAGTCTGATTTGACCACAGACGTCCACGCCTTAGTTACCTCTAGATTGGACTATTGCAGTGCACTCTACGTGGTGCTGCCATTGAAGACTGCTCAGAAACTTCACCTGGTCCAACACGCAGCAGCCAGCTCCTTAAACAGGGGAGCAGTCTACTCCCCTGTTTAAGGAGCTCCACTGGCTGCCGTTCATTTTCTGGGTCCAGTTCAAGATGCAGGTTATTACCTACAAAGCCCTGAACAGTTTGGGACCTGCCTACCTTCGTGACCATATTTCCTTCTATGTACCAGCACGACCAAACGATCCTCCGGGGAGGCCCTCCTCTCGCGTCCCCCTCCGTCACAAGCACAACTTGTGGGGACGAGAGAGAGGGTCTTCTCTGTGGTGGCCCCTCGGCCTTGGAATTTTCTGCCTGGAGAGATTAGGCAAGCGCCCACCCTGTCAGCCTTCAGAAAAAGCCTAAAAACCTGGTTGTTTTGGTGTGCCTTTGAGGAATGAATATTATCCCCACACCATGACCAGCTCATCACAATATCATTGAATCATAGAATCAAAGAGTTGGAAGAGACCTCGTGGGCCATCCAGTCCAACCCCCTGCCAAGAAGCAGGAATATTGCATTCAAACCACCCCTGACAGATGGCCACCCAGCCTCTGTTTAAAAGCTTCCAAAGAAGGAGCCTCCACCACACTCTGGGGCAGAGAGTTCCACTGCTGAACGGCTCTCACAGTCAGGAAGTTCTTCCTCATGTTCAGATGGAATCTCCTTTCTTGTAGTTTGAAGCCATTGTTTCGCGTCCTAGTCTCCAGGGAAGCAGAAAACAAGCTTGCTCCCTCCTCCCTGTGACTTCCTCTCACATATTTATACATGGCTATCATATCCCCTCTCAGCCTTCTCTTCTTCAGGCTAAACATGCCCAGCTCCTTAAGCCGCTCCTCATAGGGCTTGTTCTCCAGACCCTTGATCATTTTAGTCGCCCTCCTCTGGACGCTGATGCACTTTAACTTATCCTTTAGTGATATTCACCCCATTGCTTGTTCCCATCTGAAATCCCCTACCGGCACACTACCCTATGCGTCCATCTCACTCAGGAATGAGCAGGGTGGGACAAAGTACTCTTGTCTGCTGGAGCTAGGTATGAATGTTTCAACTGACCACCTTGATTAGCATTTGATTGCCTCTCAACAAAAGATTGCTCCAGGCACTGCCAGGCAATCAAATGCTAATCAAGGTGGTCAGTTGAAACATTCACACCTAGCTCCAGCAGACAAGAGTCCTTTGTCCCACCCTGGTCATTCTACAGATATATAAACCCATTTTCCCAGTTCCAACAGACCTCACTACCTCTGAGGATGCTTGCCATAGATGCAGGCAAAACGTCAGCAGAAATGCCTCTAGAACATGGCCATATAGACCAAAAAAACCTACAACCCAATATATTATTATTTGTAAGATTAATATTATTCCTATTACTATTTTTAATATATTATTATTCCTATTATTATTAGTATTATTACTATTGTGATTCTATTGATGAGATGTAAATGATTGTCGTATTGATGTTTAATTGTTGTTATGCTATTACTTTTAAATGTTCCAATGATTTTGTAATGTTTGTGTTGAAACTGTTATTGTTAAGCGCTTTGAGTCGCCTAAGGGCTGAGAAAAGCGGGATATAAATGAAGGAAATAATAAATAAATAAATATTATATTGCTATTATGATTATTGTTATTGTGATAGTTATTCTTGAATGACAGGCGAACGGAAGTGGCACTCACTGGCCTCGAGGGCGGCGCTACGGTGGCGCCCATTGTACGTACTGTTTGCAACAGGAAGTGGATACGCTGCTTACCGAGGATACCAGCAACACAAGGAGAAGCAGCTGGAGGAACAAGGCATCGAGGTCCCACCCAGAATTGCCCATCCATGGGAGGTAATCATTCTATTGATGAGTAGTATCATGCCAATTATTGTTTCCATTTAAAAAAAAAATAACTCAATATTATTACACCTTATTTGGGTCTATTATTTTTTCTTATTTATTTCTTGATATTATATTTTCCTCCATGTTTTTTTTAAAAAAATGTATTTTTTTCTCAAAATTATTATTACTATTAATTTCTCAATATTTTATATTATAATATCCTATAATATAGTAATGGCTCCTTTTCCAGAGGAGTCCAAAGGCCCTATTTGATGATGGTTATCTCTCCCTTTGTTGGTTTAACCCAGACGGCCACCTTTGAGCCCATCTTATCAATGGGTTGATTTCCTTCCTTTTCAGCTTCTTCTCATTGAGAAATTTCCTCTAAAAGGCCTTGTCATTATCCGTTCATCATGTTTTGGGTTTCTTATTGTTGTTGTTGTTGTTTACCATCAAGTCAGCTTTGGTTACGGGATGAGATAGATACATATTTATATTTGTATACACATGGAGTTGTCTTAGGGATGTTTATTATTAGTAGTACTTTTTATTTTATTATATTATTATATTCTTTATTATATTTTCATTAATTTACTTATGATTGTATTGTTGATTGTATTATGTTATTATGTCATATTATTATATTATATATTACTATTTACTTATGTTATCTTGCTTTTTTATATATTACTTCTTTTATATTATATTTTCATTATTTTACTTAGTATTACTAATTATGTTACTGATTATTATACATTATTTTGTCAATATTTTACTTCTTTATTATATTGCTTATTATATACATTACTTATTTTATTATATTTTCATTATTTTGATATAATCAGTAATATTATATGCTATTATATAGATTATTTTATTATTGTATATTATATATTATTATATTATATATAGAATCATCGAGTTGGAAGAGACCTCATGGGCCATCCAGCCCAACCCCCTGCCAAGAAGCAGGAATATTGCATTCAAATCACCCCTAACAGATAGTCATCCAGCCTTTGTTTAAAAGCTTCCAAAGAAGGAGCCTCCACCACACTCCGGGGCAGAGAGTTCCACTGCTGAACGGCTCTCACAGTCAGGAAGTTCTTCCTCATGTTCAGATGGAATCTCCTCTCTTGTAGTTTGAAGCCATTGTTCCATTGCGTCCTAGTCTCCAGGGCAGCAGAAAACAAGATCGCTCCCTCCTCCCTGTGGCTTCCTCTCACATATTTATACATGGCTATCATATCTCCTCTCATCCGTATTATTATATTGATTATTATAAGACTATATAATCAGTAATATAATACATATTATTGTATCATATTATATATTATTTTACTTTATATATTATATGTTGTTATAGATATTATATTGTATATATAATATTATATATTATTATATTGCTTATATTACTATATTATATTATTTTACTATTCTTATTTTATCTATTTATTATTTTACATATTATATTATTCTATTACTTAAGTCAAATAATAAAACAATGAAAATATAATAAAATAAGTAATAGAATACTAGAATAAGTAATAAAGTAATATAATACGTAAAATAATAATAGATCAAATAATATAATAAAAATAATATATTTAGTAATATAATAATGAAAATATAGCATCATAATATATTTAAAATAATATAACAAAATATAATATATATAGTAAGTAAAATTATGAAAATATAATAAAAATTATTACTGATTATATTGCTTCTTATTCTATAGAATATTGTATCATATTATATTATTATTTTACTTATATCTAATACATTACCATAATAAGGTACTATATTATATTATACTAATATATCAAAAGTAAAATAACAATATATAATATAATAATATAATTCAAAAACATGTATAATATAACATTACTCATATTTTCCTTATTTTAGTATTATGTTTAGTATTAATAAATAAATAAATAAATAAATAAATAAAGTATTATGTTACTTACTATATTGCTATATTATTATATTTCTTACTATATTACTTGTGGTGCCATGCCTTTAAATTTATTTATCCTGTCGACTTGCAGTCCCTTTAAATGCCCTCCTCTCTCTCCAGCCAAGGGGAACTCTATGAGCTCCTATGGCTAGGAATGGAGGGTCATTCAGTTTGGGATCAAAGGGGTTGACAGAAACCCCCTTGACTCCCCCCCCCCCGCTGTCTCAAAGAAAAATGGTGGAAAACAGGGAATTATGGGAGTTTGAAGGGTGGCATCTATTGGAAAAATATAACATATTATTATTATTATTATTATTGTTATTATAGTTATTATTATCATCATATTTTATTATATTTATTATCAATACTATTTTATTGTTATATTTATTGTCATCATTCTTTTTATTTTATTATTATATTTTGGTGTTCTAGTTATTTTTATATTTATTATATATTTTATCATTAGTAAATTAGTATAATTATATAATTATATTTATTATATTAATATCTTTATCATAGTTATTTCTATTATTATAGTTATTTCTATTATTATATTGTATTTTATTATTAGTATATGTATTATATTATTCGTGTATTTATAATTATCATCATCATCATCATCATGATCATCAATAAAAACATTACACACAGCCTCTCCTCCTTGAGGGGCAGGCCGCCGAGTTCATTGAAGAGTATGAGACAAAAATAGAATATAAAAATAGAGTATTCTTGCATAGTTCTCAATGGGACTCCTGACCAATGGCAGAAAGAGGCACTGGCCCTTTAAATCTGGGTCAGCCTTATAAAAGGACGGCTTCCCTCTGTCTCCCTTTGGACACTGCAGCAGCCTCCCCAAGGTACCTTTGCAGCCAGAGGAGTGGGCTCTATTATTATTATTATTATTATTATTATTATTATTATTATTATTATTTTGCATATAGTGCATATTATATATTATGTATTATTTTATTGCATATATTACATATAATAAAATATTACTATTATATTGCATATATTACATATAATGTAATATTATATTGCATATATTACGTATATTATATTATATTATTGTATTACATATATTTATTATATATTATATTGCATATAGTACTTATAATATATTATGATATATTGCATATATTACATATAAATATAATATTATTAATATTAATATATTATTATTATATTCACTTCTGGTGTGAAAGAATTGGCTGTCTGCAAGGACGTTGCCCCTGGGATGCTACATGTTTGATGTTTTACCATCCTTGTGGGAGGCTTCTCTCATGTCCCCGCATGCAGAGCTGGAGCTGACAGTGGGAGCTCACTCTCCCTGGATTTGAACTGCCAACCTTGTCAATCTTGACATGACAAAAAATTATTATATTACATATATTACATATTATATTTATTATTATATTGCATATATTACTTATATTATAATTTTATTGCATATATTACAAGTAATATATTATATTGCATATATTATATTATAATTTTATTGCATATATTATAGATTATATATTATATTGCATATAATGCTACATGTAATATATGCAATATAGTAATTATATAATATATGTAGTTTATATGATTACATCTTATAATTTTATATATTACTTTTATTATATTGCATTTATTAAATATATTATATTATTATATTAGATTATTATTATTGAAAGAGACTCAATGGATACCTTCCAGGAAAGCTCTAAATAATAATAATGATGATGATAATAATAATAATAATAACAATAACAGTAATAATTGCAGCAAGTCATTATACTTAACTAGAGTGTTCAGCTCTATAATAATAATAATAATATAAATAAATAAAATAATATATATTTAATAGGCTGATGTTGACCTCTCTCTGTCTCTCCTCTTGGTGCAAAGTATCCCATGAACGGCCTTCCTTTGCAAACATTCATTCATACCTTGTTTGCCTTGGGATAGAATGGGGTCAGGCTAGGTGGCCTTTAACCCAATTTATCTATTGGATTGTATGGACTTCCTTGGTATGGCGATGATAAATGTAGTAGTAGTATATATTAAATAATTACTAATATTTATTCAATTACAAATGATAAATACATAATTTTTATATTTTCCAAATGTAATAATATTATAATATATATAATATATTATAATAATGTATAATATAATTATAATGCAGCCCCAGGTGGCGCAGTGGGTTAAAATGCTGAGCTGCTGAGCTTGTTGACCGAAAGGTCACAGGTTCGAATTTGGGAAGCGGCGTGAGCTTCCGCTGTCAGCCCCAGCTTCTGCCAACCTAGCAGTTCGAAAACATGCAAATGTGAAGGTAACGGCACTCCATGCCGGCCACATGACCAGGAGGTGTCTATGGACAATGCTGGCTCTTTGGTTTAGAAATGGAAATGAGCACCACACCCCAGAGTCGGACACGACTGGACTTCATGTCAAGGGAAAACCTTTACCTTATAGTTATAATATGTATAATATATAATGTAATAATTATAATATAATATAATATATAATAATATAATGTAAAATATATAATATGTATAATAATGTATAATGTAATAATGGTGTAATATATTTATAATTAATGTATAATTGAATAAATATTAATATATTTAGATCCCAACAGGTTCTATTATTATAACTATGATATATAATAGATTATTATTATTATATTACATTACATTACATTTAGATCCCGACAGGTTCTATTATTATTAAAACATGCAAATGTGAGTAGATGAATAGTTACTGCTCCGGCGGGAAGGTAACGGCGCTCCATGCAGTCATGCCGGCCACATGACCTTGGAGGTGTCTACGGGGAATGCCGGCTTTTTGGCTTAGAAATGGAGATGAGCACCACACCCCAGAGTTGGACACAACTGGACTTCATGTCAAGGGAAAACCTTTACCTTATAGTTATAAGATGTATAATATATAATGTAATAATAATATAATATAATATAATGTATAATAGGTATAATAATGTATAATGTAATAATAGTGTAATATATTTATAAATATTAATATATTAAATTAGATCCCAACAGGTTCTATTATTATTACTATTATATATAATAGATTATTATTATTATATTACATTACATTTAGATCCCAACAGGTTCTATTATTATTACTATTATATATAATAGATTATTATTATTATATTACATTACATTTAGATCCCAACAGGTTCTATTATTATTACTATTATATATAATAGATTATTATTATTATTATTATTACTATTGTATTGTTGAAAGCTTTCATGGCCGGAATCACTGGGTTTTTGTAGGTTTTTTCGGGCTATATGGCCATGGTCTAGAGGCATTCTCTCCTGACGTTTCGCCTGCATCTATGGCAAGCATCCTCAGAGGTTAGTGAGGTCTGTTGGAATTAGGACAATGGGTTTATATATCTGTGGAATTATTACATTACATTTAGATCCCAACAGGTTCTATTATATATTATTATTATTATACTTATATTACATTTATATTCGGTCAGTTTCTGTTATTATTATTGTACTGCATATAATATATCATATATTTTATTATTATATTTATTCTAGTATTATTATGATGGTGATTCACCCAACGGAGGCCTTCAGTACCTATCCTGCTATCCATTATAATCATTATCATTATTCGGAGTCTTCTTATTTGGATTCGCCTTCTGATGAAGGGAAGCTTCAGGCTTTCCTTATGAATGAATGTCTGAATGAAGTGTGTGAGTGACATCACCGCCGCGTGACCCCCAGGAGGGAAGGAGGGAGGCGGAGTGACATCACCCGTGCTCTCTGTCTCTCTGTCTCTCTCTTTCTCAAGACTTTCCCCTTGGACGCGTCATGTGCCGCCGTTGCCCTCTTCTTCCACCTCCTCCTCCTCCTGCGGGAACCTGGTGAGCAACCTTGCTGTGCCTTTTGCCCCTTTGGATGCCCCTTTGCCACCCGTCACTCTAGGACTCCTTATAGCGGAGGGGGAGGGGCCTTGCCCGGCCTTATGGTAATGAGGGGGAGGGGCCTTGAGGGAGGAAGCTCTCCTCATCCCTCTCTCTAGGATTTTCATTCACTGGACCAAATTTGGCACAAATACCCAATACGCCCAAATCTGAATACTCGTGGGGTTGGGGGGGGATTGATTTTGTCATTTGGGAGTTGTAGTTGCTGGGATTTATAGTTCACAGAACGTCCTGAACTCCGTCAATGATGAAATTGAACTTCCCACACAGAACTCTCATGACCAACAGAAAATACTGGAAGGGTTTGGTGGGCATTGACCTTGAGTTTTGGTGTTGTAGTTCACCTACATCCAGAGAGCACTGTGGATGTAAACAATGATGGATCTGATGGACTCAACTTGAATACACCTGTGAACACTAGTGGAGTTTGAGGAAAATAAACCTTGACATTTGGGAGTTGTGGTTGCTGGGATTTATAGTTCACCTACAATCAAAGAGCATTCTGAACTCCATCAATGATGGAATTGAACCTAACTTGGCACACAGAACTCCCATGACCAAAATTACAACAGCACAACAACAGAGAGGAAAGAAACAAGGACATCTAATCACCTCTCAACAAAAGTTTGCTCCAGGCACTGTCAGGCCATTATATGCTAATCAAGGTGGTCAGTTAAGGAGCCCCCGGTGGCGCAGTGGGTTAAAGCCCTGTGCTGGCAGGACTGAAGACCGACAGGTCACAGGTTCGAATCCGGGGAGAGGCGGATGAGCTCCCTCTATCAGCTCCAGCTCCTCATGCGGGGACATGAGAGAAGCCTCCCGCAAGGATGATAAAACATCAAAATCATCCAGGCGTCCCCTGGGCAACGTCCTTGCAGACGGCCAATTCTCTCACAACAGGATTGCTCCAGGCACTGCCAGGCCATCAAATGCTAATCAAGGTGGTCAGTTGAAACATTCACACCTAGCTCCAACAGACAAGAGTCCTTTGTCCCACCCTGGTCATTCCACAGATATATAAACCCTTTCCCCTAGTTCCAACAGACCTCACTACCTCTGAGGATGCTTGCCATAGATGCAGGCGAAACGTCAGGAGAGAATGCCTCTAGACCATGGCCATATAGCCCGAAAAAACCTACACAACCCAATAATTTCATTTACCCCTGGTAGAGTTAAAAACCCTCCCTGCAAGTAGAAAACACCAGAGCAGCATGTTGGCTGGCATCTCAAAAAATCAGCCCCCCCCCCCCCCCCCCCTTGACTGAGAGACTGGCCAGTCACAGCAGGAGGAAGGCTTTTGGTGGGAGGATTTGTTTCCAACAAGGAAGAGAACGACAGGCGGAGGAGATCTTCAGTCTTCTCTGCCAACGGGGTTCATAAGACCATCAGAAATATGTGTTTTCTGATGGTCTTTGGTGAGCCCCCTCTTGTTCAATTGCTGATCAATTCCTCTGTATGCCATAGGAAAAGGTAGGAAAGGGTTAAGGTAGAGGCAGTGGGAGGGGTCATGCAAATTCCACAGCATTGGAGAGAGAAAGGAACCCTGGGATGTCCATTCTGGAGGAAAAACAGAACATATAGGATGAAATTGTCCCCGCATGAAAGCCCTCACTTGGCTGGGGGGGGGGGGGGGGGGGGGGGGGGCAGGATGGTGTTTGTGGAAGACACTGGCAGGGTTTGGGTTACATGTTCATGGCTCTCTCTATAGCCTGCGATGTCAGTGGAGGGGGGCCAGGGGTGTCTCCTGCTCAGTGGGAACTATAGCTGTTTGTGGAGGTGGGAGGCTGTCTGTGTACATGCACATTTTCACTTTTATTATGTGTATAGATAGATAGAAAGATAGATAGAGATAGCCATATAGCTGGATTATTATTATTATTATTATTATTATTATCCCAATAATAATAATAATAATAATAATAATAATAATAATAATAATAGGCCCTCCAGCCCCTCCCTCCCCAAGAGCTGCAGGTCCTTGAAGCCTCTCTGCTGACCTTTTTGCTGTGTGTTTGTTTGTGTGTTTGTTTGTTTGTGTTCAGGCTGTCCCTGCTGCGCCTGCGGGGCCCTCCTTGGCCCCTGGCCCTTCTCCTCCTCTCCAGGGTAATAGGAGCATCATCATTATTAATATTATTATTGTGGTGTTGTTGTTGTTCTATATCTAGAGTGATGCTGGGGCACACAAGGCCAAAACTAGGACAGAAAGAATATCTATTCATGGTATAATAGTCCATCAATATTCATGATGATGGTGATGATGATCATGATTATGCATTTATTAATATTATTATTGTTTATATTAATATTTATTTTTATATTATTATTAATTTTCTATTATGTTATTATATGGTATAAGTCTAGGAAGAGAGACATGATGATGATTATTTATATTTTCATTCATTTCATATAATGTATATTGTCATAATAATACTATATTATTATTATTTATGTTTTATTTTATTGTTATTATTTAATTCTATTTTCATTATTATATTATCATTAATATTGATTGATTATATATATATGTTTTAGTATAATAATACTATATTATTTATGTTTTATTAGATTTTGGCATTATTTTTCTTATATTATTCTGATTTGTGTTTTATATTATTATTATTATTATATTGAATGACCCTGGTGCTTGCGTGTGTGTGCTTCTGCTTAGGTGTGGTTGTACCGCTCGCTGCCGACGCGGCTGGTGTCGCGTGCTTGGGGGCGTCTGAGCCGGGTGGAGCTTCCCGTGTGGCTGCGTGGCCCACTACTAGGACTGTACGCCTGGGCTTTCGGGGTGGACCTGCAGGAGGCTGCCATTGAGGACCTGCGCCACTACGCCTCCCTCAGCCAGTTCTTCGCCCGCAGACTCAAGCCCCACGCACGGCCCCTCGAAGGCCACCCCACTCACACCAGCGCCGCCACCACCCTGGTGAGCACAGTCAGGAGAAGAAGGATGATGATGATAATAATAATAATAAGCATAATCATACTAATAATAATACTGTATGATGATGTATGATGCAGATTAGCCCATCGGATGGACGGATCCTGAGCTTTGGCCGGGTGCGGAACTGCGAGGTGGAGCAGGTCAAGGGCATCACCTACTCACTGGAAGACTTCCTGGGACCCCTCCCACACACACAGGAAGGGGCAGGGCCGCCTCAGCACCACGGTAACCTCTAGGGTGGACACCATCTTTATTAGCATTATTACTGCATATTATTATTATTATTATTATTATTATTATTATTATTATTATTAATTATTATGTTACCATGGTGACATTTTGGAAGACTTTCTGGGGTCCCTCCCACCCCCTTTCTATCTCCTCCCGGGTCTAACTGGCACAGTCCTCGGAAGAGAGTTAAAGTCCTTGAGAGAAGAGCGGTTCTGAAGTCCTTAACTTCTCTGCTGTTTCTTCTCTTGTTGGTGTCTCCTTGTCTGTCTTTGAAGTAATGCTTGTTTGAACTAACTTGTACTTTAACTTAAAATGTCCCTCCCTTTTCCCAGGACCCTCCTCTGACTCCAACTCGGACTCCGCCTCCTTCCAGCAGCGCCTGGTCTCAGGGGAGGGCCGCGACCTCTTCCACTGCGTCATCTACTTGGCCCCTGGAGACTACCATGGCTTCCATTCCCCCACTGACTGGCAGGTCGCCCTCCGGCGCCATTTCCCAGGTGACTTCTCCCTCCTCATTGGCACACCCTCTTCCCATAAGTCCCCTGGAGCTGGGGAAGGGGCCCAAGAGGGATGAGGGGGTGGGGCCTCAGGGAGAAAGCCTTGCAAGGCAAAGGGGGCGGGGTCCGGAAGACTTCCCCTTGACTGCTAGGCCTCACTTCTGAGGGAAAAAGAGGTCTAGAAATCTATTGAGTGCTGGGCCTCACACCTCCTCCCCCTTATTTGCATACCCTTTTCCCATAGGTCCCCTGGAGCTGGGGGCGGGGCCTAAGGCAAAATAACCAGAGCTAGAAGGCTTTCTATTGACTGTTAGGCTCACTCCTTCCCCTCATTTGCATACCCTTTTCCCATAGGTCCCCCGTACCTGAGGGTAGGGCCGAAGAGGGATGAGGGGGTGGGGCCTCTGGTGAAAGGTCTTGCAAGGAGAAGGGGGTGAGGCCTCAGACCCAAAGAAGAAAGGCCTGCAAGGCTTCCCATTGTGTCATGATCTCTTGATCTTTCGCTCATGTCATTCAACTAACAACCCTGAGGTAGACTTTGAAGTCTGTTTGGAAACTGCTATTAGTCCAATGGGCGGTAGCATACCACCCCCGTTATGTCAGCTTCACTGGCTACCGATCCAATTCCGAGCACAATTCAAAGTGCTGGTCCCCATCAAAGGCGGCTTGGAGCTTCATCTCCCCTCTGTTCTGGGGCTGGGCCCTCACTCCTCTGCCAATGAGGGGAAGGGGCTGCTGTGGAAAGGCCAAGAGAGGTTACCTGAGAAAAAGTCCCAGCCTCTGGAAGGCCAGGGTTAGCTGCCTGCCCCCCAGAGCTGCTCTATTCTCTCAGGAACAACAAATTAAGTAGTTCCTTCACTTGCACCAATCCTTGCCTCATCTCCTGCACTTCCTAGCTGCCCATCAAGTGGGGAAGGCTATACTCCCAGCCTGTTGCCACCCTGGCTCTGTGAAAGCTCTCCAACTGAGCCAATGTGACCCACCAGCGGCTGACAATTGTTGCTGAGGCTGCTGCATCCTGCCATCTTTGCTCCTCCAGAGCTTGCTTCTTCCCCTGAATTGTCGCGAATTGGTTCTCAGCGGTGTTGTCCCCTCTCTCTTCTCCCTCCATGTTGGTGTAGGCAGAAGCTAGAGAGAGGTGCTGGGGATTCCCAACAAATTGTAAGGGTTCTTTGCTCCAACTGTGCCATTATGGGTTTAGTCTTCACTGTAGCCAACACAGTTGCTGAAGTTACCATGCATCTTTATTGTTCGGAATACAAGAACCTTGCAGCAAGCCCATGTCTATAGGGTCTAAGCTATAACATCATCTATCACTGAATGGCCCTGGCCTTTCCCACATACCAGATCCCACCTGTTAGGGATTCCTCATCTTCAGAAGAGGAAGGGGAGCAGGGAAGTGCTCAGGAGTTGGAGGGGGAAGAGGAATCAGACAATGAGGGTTTGCAAATGCCCACATTTCTGGAGAGGCGAAAGGAAACAGCACAGACGGCGTTCAGCTAGAATAGCTGCTAGAAACGCTGAGGTAATTGGGAGCCACCCTAGCACCTCCTCGTGGGGAATTCAGGGCTATGAATCAAGCAGGAGCAGTTAGTTTTTGCTGGTAACAACGACTGTGATGCTGATGTTTTTGCTCCAATTGTATCTGCTTTGTGTCTGCTTCTAAGGATTTAGTGATCATTGCCCGTTGTCTAATGTAAGACTGCTGTTTATTTTGGACCTTATTAGAGACTTTAGTTTTGTGTCTGCATTAAGACTTCCTTGCTTTCTTTTGCATTTTTCAACTACATTTGCTGTTCTTTCATGTTGCTGAAGTAAAGCATTTTTCTTTTATTTTCAGTGTTGTATTTAGGCTGTTCTTGAAGAGCAATTCAGGACACCACCTCCTCTGAATTGAGGGCAATTATTATTATTATTATTATTACTTTATTTGTACCCCGCTAGCATCTCCCGAAGGACTTGATGCGGCTTACATAGGCCAAGGCCTTAAAACACAATACAACAATACAATACCTAAAGCAAAATTGACTTTTTATGACCGTTTCATGTGTCCTTGCAGCATAATTTCCTTCCTTCTGGCCAGACGGCATGTGTTCTACCTCAGGGATGGTAGTTGGATGGCATGAGGGACAGATCAAGAGTTCATGACACATTGACTGCTAGGCCTTGCTCCTCCTCCCTCATTAGCATGCCTTCTTCCCATAGGTCCCCTGCAGCTGGGGGCAGGGCCTTGGGGAAAAGGCCTTGCATTTCCTGACCGCATTTCCTTTTACAATCCTGAACAATCTCTTTGATCCTCAGTGGAGGCTCTCCTCTCACTCCTACTTCCATCACAAGTTTGCAAGGCAAAGTGGGTGGGGCCTGGAAGGTTTCACCATGACCACAAGGACTGACTTCTCCCTCCCTCCCGGCAGGGTCACTGATGTCGGTGAGCCCCGGGGTGGTGCGGTGGGTGCGCTCCCTGTTCTGCCACAACGAGCGAGTGCTGCTGTGTGGCTGCTGGAAGCATGGCTTTTTCTCCCTGACGGCCGTGGGGGCCCAGAACGTGGGCTCCATCCGCATCTACTTTGACCAGGTGAGCAGAAAAGTGAGAGGGCCCTCTGCCTCACGGGAGGGGGGGGGGTCCCGCTCCTTCCTAATTATTCTCCCCTCATGTCTCTCTCCCCATGTCTCTCTCCCTTTGAGCAGGAGCTGGAGACGAACCGCCCCGGGGACCGCCAGGGCTCCTTCCGGGACCTGCACTTCGGCCTGAAGGAGGGCGCGGAGCCTGGCCAAACAGAGAGGGGGAATGGCTTGGTCCCTAGTCCAGGGGGTGTGGCCCTGCAGAGGGGAGAGCCCCTGGGGGAGTTCAACCTGGGCTCCACTATCGTCCTCCTCTTCGAGGCCCCCACCCACTTCAACTTCCGCCTTCATGCCGGCCAGAAGATACGCTTTGGGGAGGCCCTCGGGGAGGCCCTCTAACCCAAGAAAGCAAGGAAGGCGGCCATCTTGCGTACAGGGAAGAAGACGAGACAGAGAGAACCGCCGGGGGCAGCTGCAATTTTCTTTTGGGGGAGGGAAATACATTGCACGTGGTGTGCATTTTGTTTGCGGGACTTTCCCCACACACAAGTGGCAGCCGTTTCGTGTGGGGAAAAGGGAAGAAATAACCAGTGGCAACCAGGTTGTTTTGGAGAAAATATACTGCACTTGTCTGGGAAGAAGAACCAGTGGCAGCCATTTTGTGTGGGGAAGGAAAGAAACAAGCAGTGGTGGCTGTTTTGGAGGAAATACTTTGCATGTGGCAGCCATTGTGTCTGGGAAGAGGAACCATTGGTGACCATGTTGTGTATGTGGGAAGGAAAATTACAAATGGCAGCCAGTATCTTTGGGAAGGATTGAAGAAATAAGTAGCAGCACCCATTTTGTTTTGGGGAGAATATATTGCACACGTCGGCCATTTTGTTTAGGAAGAACTAAAAGAACAACTTTTGTTTTGAATGGGGGAGAAAAATTGCAAATGGCAGTCATTTTGTCTTGGAAGAAATTGTAGACAAATGGTGGCCATTTTGTTTTGAGAAGAACAAGAAAACGGCTACCATTTTATTTTGGGAAGAACAACAAAAGGACAAATGGTGGTCATTTTGGAAAGAAAATATGCAAAAATGGTGGATTTTCCTCCTTTTTCGAATTGCTTTCTCTCTCAGCAGGAACTGAGTAGAGAAAAGAAACGAACTTCTTATTTAAAACCATTCACAGATCGAGAAGAAGTGTCGCTTTTGGGGCCTTAATAATAAATACAAAGAATTGTCATTTCCCTCCATCCTTTTATTTTGTTTTGTTTTGCTTTTCCGGATCTTTCTTTCTTTTGAAGGAAGGAAAAGAAGGAATTTGCACTGGGTTTTTCTGTAACACATTCCAAACGTTTAATCTTTATTTGTTTCATAATGATGTTTCTCCTGAGCCTTAAATATATATCTATATCTGTGCATTCATCTCTTGGTCTCGTGGTTTGACAAAGGAATGTATCGACCTTTCGAGGCACATCCTGGCTCCTCCAAGGCAACTCTATAGTCACTTCCTGTCCAAGGTGTCGAGGGCCTTCCTGATTTCCTGGAGGCGGGAGATGCAGGTGGCCATCTTGCCCTTCTCTGCTGCCAAGTGGGCTTCAAGGGAACGGGCCTGGAGGGTGAGCTGGGGAAGGAAGGAAGAGAAAGAAGAAAGATGGATGAAAGGAAATGGGAAGAAAAAAGGAAAGAAGGATGAATGAATAGAAGGAAGGGAGGAAAAGAGGAAGGGAAGATGAATAGAGTGAAGGAAAGCAGGAAGAAAGGAAATGGAAAGAAGGAATGATGAAGGAATAGCGAGAAGGTAGGGGAGATGAATGGAATAAAGGAAGGAAACGGAAAGAAGGATGAATGAATGGAAGGAAGGGAAGATTAATGGAATAAAGGAGAGAAAGGAAGGGTGGAAGAATGGAATAAAGAAGAAGGGAAACAGGAAAAGAAGGAAGGATGAATGAATAGAAGGAAAGGGGAAAGAAGAAAGGATAGAAGGAAAAGGAAGTAAATGAACATTAGAAAAGACAGAAGGATGGAAATATGAATGGAAMGAAGGAAGGAAGAAGGAAATGGAAGAATTAATGGAAGGAAGGAGAAGGAAGAGAGAGGGAAGATGAATGGAATAAAGGAAGGAGGAATTGGAAAGAAGAAAACGAGGAAAGACAAGATTAGAAGAAAGGAAAAGAGGATGAAAATAATTAAAAAGACAAAGATGGAAGGAAAGAACGATGAATGGAATAAAGGAAAGAAGGAAGGATAGAAGAAAAAGAAAAGAGGAATAAAATAAACATTAAAGATGAGGTAGGAAAGGATGAATAGAAAGGAAGGGAAGAAGGAAGAGGAGGAGGAAGGAAGGAAGATAAGCAAAAGAAGGAAGGAAGAAAATGAAAGACAAAAGGAAGAGAAAGAGGGAAGGTAGAGTAGAATGAAGAAAGGAAATGGAAGAAAAGGGAGGAAAGATGAATGGAATAATGGAAGGAAAAAGTAATGGCACAAAGGAAGGAAAGGAATGAAGGAAGAAAAACAGACATAGGAAAGATACATAAAGATGGGAAGGAAGGAAGAAGGAAATGAAAGGGTTGATTTTACCAGAGGGAGAGAGAGAGATCCCAAGATGGCCGCCCTGCCCTACCCGATTGACAGCGCCTTCCACTTCCTGTGACTCTCTGCCCCCTTCTTCCTCGCCTTCCGCCCGCACTTCCTGCCATTTCTGCAGGAGTCGAAGCCTCCGCCGGAAAGACCTGGAAGGAGGGGAAAATTGGATGCCAGACCCAAAAAAGTTCGGTGTTGATCAATGTATTGATCAATGTATTGATGAAATCTGTTATTGATGATTGCCTTACTGGAGCTGCTGCTGGGATTCATGGTGTCGCCGCATCTGCTGCTCGATGGCTCCCAACTCGGCCATCAGCTGGTCCTCGTCATGTGACCTTTGAGGCCTCGCCCACCTCCCCAAAATGGCTGGCAACGCTCCTCCACTGCCATCTTGTTCTTGTTCCTCTCCAAAAGTGACCCTTTTCTTGGGAGGGACGTTGCCATGGCGATGGAGAAGAGCCTTCCGCTTCCACAGAGAGAAGCAACGCGCGACCGCCTGGTGACGAAAGATGGCAGTCTTGTTGGGAGGGAATAAATAGGGAGGAATAAAATTAATTGATCCATAATCAATATGGGCTTTGCTCCATCCATTGATTTCAGTTCTTGAGACCCACTTCTAGCCCTAATCGATACATAATGAATGTGAACCTTAGTATACAATCAATGGGGCTTTGATAAGTAACCATTGCCAATTTCAATCCGTAATCAATAGGACTTTAGTTTATAATCAATGGGGCCTTGATACGTAATCAATACTGGCCTTCATTCACAATCATTGGGACTTAAATCCACAATCAATGCCAATTTCAAAATGTAATGAACAGTTCATAAATAATGGGACTTTGATACATAAATAACGACATTCTTTCACAATCAATGGGACTTTAGTCCATAATCAATGCCAAATTCAATACGTAATCAGTAGCACTTTAATCCATAGTCAGTACCAATCCATTAAAAAATACTAATTTTAATCCATGATTACTGTGAACTTTAGTTCATAATCAATGGGCTTTGATACACAATCAATAGCGACCTTGGTTCACAATCAATGGGACTTTAATCCATAATCAATGTCAAATTCAATCCGTAATCAATAGGACTTTAATCCATAGTACCAATCCATTAAAAATACTTTTATTCTATAATTAATATGATTTTAGTTCATAATCAATGGTACTTTCATGTGTAATCAACCCCAACCTTTGTTCACAATCAATAGAACTTTAATCTGTAATCAATTCCAATTTCAATGAGTAATCAAAAGAACTTTAATCTGTAATCAATGCAAATTTCAATCCGTAATCAATAGTACATAATCAGTGGAGATTTGATACGTAATCAATATTGACCTTTGTTCACAATCAGTAGGATTTTAATCCATAGTATCAATATTAATACCTAAAAAGTATGGGTTGCTTACCTGTAACCATGTTTCTTCAACTGGTCACTTGTGAAATCAACACATATGGGTTTCCTGCGCCTGTGCAGGTAATTTCGGAACTCTCTAGAAGCTCTTAAGAGATACATTTTGGCAGAGGCCCCACCCACTCTCCCCTTGTGATATATATATATAGCCAGTGGGAGAAATTCCTAACTGCGTACTGTGGCGGAAAGAAGGAACTGGGGTGGTAGCCTCTCCCACTGGCTATATATACAAGGGAGAGTGGGCAGGGCCTCTGCCAAAATGTATCTCTCAAGAGCTTCTAGAGAGCTCCGAAACCGCCTGTGCAGGTGCAGGACACCCATATATATGCATTTCACAGGGACCAAAATGAAGAAAATACTAATTTCAAAACATTACTAATGTGAACTTTAGTTCATAATAAATGGAACTTTAATATGATGAGGAATCAATGCCTGTATTGATTAGGGATAGATTAGGGCGTTGTGAAACGCTTTGAATACCCAGGGGTTGAGAAAAGTGGTATATAAATGAAACAAATAAATAAGTCCCCTATTGATAAGGAATCAAAGCTGGTATTATTGCTTAATGATTCCTGACCAGCCTTTGTGTGGACTCACCTCCGCTTCTTTCTCCGCCTGTGACCTGGCCCGCGCTTCCTTCAACCGGGAGGCGCAGCGCAGGAGGCGGAGGGCGCCATCTTGGATCAGGAGGCTCCGGTGGGCTTGGGCGGCCACCTGGAGGCGGGCAGCTTTTCGCTGGCGCTCCTTTGCCCACAGGGCCCAGGCCCGCAAGGCCTTCCCCCGCAGGGAGCGGGACCACAGCCAGAGGGCCTGTGCTGTCTGGAGCGCTTCCTGTCGCCGGAGGGCCCACTACAAAGGAGGGAAGGAAGGAAGCGGAGGGATGTGGTTGGGTCCCCTCTAGGCATTGGGTAGGCCCATGCACACACACCCCCGGGGCCATGGGGAAGGTCTTGTATTACACATATCCACAAAATGCCACCCATCATTTCCTATCCACCTCCCTCTCATTGTTTCCAAAATGGCTGCCTCCCATTTCCAATGCCTCCTTCCCCTTGTTTCCAAAATGGCTGCTGCCCCTTGCTTCCAATACATGTCTTTCCTCGTTTCCAAAATGGTGGCCCCAGTTTCCTTTTCAAAATGGCCACCTCCCATTTCCAATCCATCTTGCTCTCATCATTTCCAAAATGGCAGCCCCCGTTTCCTTTTCAAAATGACCACCTCCAACTCCCAATCCATCTCATTCCCCTTGTTTCCAAAATGGCAGTTCTCGTTTCCTTTCAAAAATGGCCTCCCCTCCTTGTGTCCAATCAATCTCCTTCCTCGTGTTTCCAAAATGGTAGTCTCCGTTCCTTTTTCAAAATGGCCACTGCCCTTTGCTTCCAATCCTTCCCCTTGTTTCCAAAATAGTGGCTCCAATATTCTTTCCCAAATGGCAGCCATTTTGGGGGCCCATCCCCTCTCGTTCCTGGCCGCACCTGCTGCTTCCAGGCTGTGACAGAGGCTGAGAGGAGGTTCCGGGCCCGGCTCCCCTCCGCTCGGTTCCGCAGGAGCTGCAAAGGAAGGAACACAAAACCATCAGCATCTTCTTTCCCCAAAAAAAGCAATCGGGAATTGCCTTGCGTACCTACCTGCTTCCTGAGGCAATGGTGGTGATACCACTTCCAGGCAAGGAAGGCCTTGCGCAGCCGTTGCTGGGCACAGTGTTGAGTTGCCGTGGCAACCAGGCCTTTCTCCCTCCGAGAGGCCGCAGCCAAGGACTGCCAATGGAGGAAGGCCACACGCAGTTTCCCTTGAAAGAAAGAAAGAAAGGCCACAGATCCAACATGAAATGGCTGTAAAGAAGAAGCCCAAGACAAAAGGGAGGGAGGGAAGGAGGCAGATTGCAGGTACCAGAGTCCAAGCACATCCTGGCCTTCGCTACGGCCTCAGCCTTCTCTTCCCGTTTGTAGACACCCAAAATGGCCGCCTGCCTCCAGAGGAGAGTCACCTGCAAAGAGATGGAAGGGAAAGGGAGGCAGCCATCTTGGAAATGAGGGGAGGGAGATGTATGGAAAACCATAGAAACCGAGAGGTAGCCATCTTGGAAACAAAGGGAGGGAGATATATTGGAAACGATAGAAAGCAAGACAGGAGGCCATTTTGAAAAGGAAGGGAAAAGTTGTTTTACAACCCACAGAGGGGAGAAATTTGGTAACTATAGGGGGCAGCCACTGGAAAGAATGGAGTGATAGCAGCCATTTTGGAAACTATGAAAAGAGGCCATACTGGAAAAAATGGGGACAATGGAAAAAAATGGGAGGAGCGCGGCCATTTTGTCAAGAAGAGGAAGGCACCTAGAGAAAGTCACAAGGGTGGCCATTTTGGAAACAATGGGGGAAGAGACCTATTGGAACCAATGGGCATCTTGGAAATCACGTAAAGGAGCCCTTTTGTAAACCCCTGAAAGGAGACTTCTGGGGTTTACAAAACAGCAAGAAAATGTATGGGAAACGAGAAGCAGCAGCCATTTTGTAGGCGGCGAGAAGGGCACCATTTTGTAAAACAACGGGAAAAGAGCAGAAGGGACGCAATAAGCAGCGGCCATGTTGGAAACCCATCGGGCAGGGAGGCAGCCATGTTGCAAATCTCAGGAAGTGGGGGCAGCCATGAAGGAGGTGGCCATTTTGGAAATCCCCAGGAAGTAAGATCATTCGGAGTTTTGGAGTTTGATGCCATTTGTATGCAGAGGACACCCAACTCTACTCCTTTCCCCTTCGTGTAGTCTGTGAAAGACGCACATAATGGGTTTTATTCTGCGCATGCGCAGCTGTTCGGAACCTTCTAGAATTTAAAATAGACACTTTTCGGCGGACGCCCCGCCCATACTCCCCAATACTATAAGTACCCAAGGCGGGAGCCTCGGCTCAGTTCCTTTTTCCGCCATCACAGCGTTTGGAACACCTTCTAGCAAAGTATTTTTCTAGCGGACTGATTGGTATTTGACCGGAATCCTCATCGACCTAGCGAAAATCTCCTCTCCATCGACCTCGGCACGGAATTAGACTACTCTCAGGCAGTTCCCTTCTCAATATGAGCACCACCTTCTTTAAGAAATGCGGCTCCTGCGGGGGCAAGGTGCCCGAGTCAGACGGGCACTCCATGTGCCTGCTCTGCTTAGGGGAATCCCATCGTCCCCAGTCCTGCCAAGTATGCCTGGCTTTCACTCCTAGAGCCAGAAAGGACAGAGAGTCCAGGCTCAAAGCCCTGCTTTACGAGAGAGCTCTGGCCCCGAGCACCAGCCGAGCTGAGAAGCGTCCGGCCCCCGAAGTGCTCCCTAACCCTCAGGGAGGCCAAGAGGCAGAACTGCCCGCGTCTCATCCATCCCCGCCTCGCCAGGAGGGGGAAGGGGACTCCCAGCCGGGCCCCGCGAAAAGGGCTAAGCCTCCCAAACAGGGAAAAGCTTCCCATAAACAGAAGGAAGGGCTTAAAAAAGGAAAGAAGAAGGGGCAACTCGGCGGCAGCCCGCCCCCGAGTCCCCAGTCCTCAAGGGACATAGCCCAGGGAGATACAACTCGAGCCCTTTCTGATGGCCCCCCAGAGCCAATGGAGGGGATTCAGCAAATGGCGGCTCAAACCGCCCAGCCAGAGGAAATGGCGCCAGCCCCTCCGACACTCTCCCCAGCGGAGGGAGTTCGCCCACGCGGCGCAACGGCCGATGGGCCCATCACCCCATCTGACTTACCTGTGGCGCCCCAGGGCACGGAGAGCTCCCTAACCCCATCGGGGTTGCCCCAACAGGCGCAAAATCTGCCCTCATCATCAGCGATGCATAGGAGGGAAGGAAGAAGGGGCCGCTCCCAGGAGCGCCGGTCGCTCCATGTGCCATGGCACCGACGCAGATCTCCCTCTATCAGCTCCTGGAGTTCTCGGTCCCGAAGCCCTGTGGGATTGTACTACAGGGGGGATTACTCCCCAGAGCGCCACCATCCAAGGGGGGATTACTCCCCAGAGCGCCACCATCAAAGATACTACAGAGACTATGCCCAGTATAAGTACGCTGGGCCCTACAATGAGAGAGGCTGTTGCCGCCATCTTGGCTGCTGCCAGTATGCCAAGCACGCTCAGCCTGACTTGGGAGCCACGCCCCCTGGCGCAAGCCACGCACATCTGGGAGGAGCGGCCTCAGCTCTATCCCAGCTTGGAGCCATGAGCCAGCCTGCAAGGCAAAACACGGTGCCGACTCCTCAAGCCGGGCCCAGCGCTGCAACAGCGCCACCTGCTGGGGGACCTGCGATTATCTCGGCACCGACAAGGGCAGGAACCCAAACAAACCACCTTTCAGGCTCCTCAGATTCAGAAGATCATCCATCTGAGCCCCAACTTGACTCAGAAACACTGCTCACCGAGGACTTTGGGGGATTCTCAGCCCTGATGATTAGACTGTCTAAAGCCTTGCAATTAACAGTGCCACAACCAACGAAAATAGTAGAGGATCCGATGTTTCCCTCTTCTAAGCAGCAGGATCCCCCAACTACTGTCTTACCTTCCCTATCCTTTCTGCTACAACTCAGCAAGGCAGAGGGTGTAGCCCCATCAGCTGTGCCTGCAACTCCCAAGAGGGCAGAGAACCTCTACAAAGTGGACCTGTCTACTGCCCCGTGGCTGGCCAAGCAACCTAAACCAAACTCCATCGTGGTGGACGTCAGTCAGCCTCGCCCCTCCCAAAGATCCCAAACGACTCCATCAGACAAGGAGGGAAAGAAACTGGAGACTTTAGGGAAAAAGATCTATGCTTCGGCCTGCCTCGCTTCCAGGATGGCCCGCTACGGGGCCTACATGGCGGGCCATCAAGAATATCTATGGAGCAAGGTAGCGGGATATCTAGACATGTTCCCGCCAAATGAACAGATATTGGCGAAAGCCTTTCAACAAGAAGCGTCGTTGTTGGCCTCTTTCCAGAAAGACCTGGCTAAACATACAGCGGATGCAGCGGGTAAACTCTTAGCAACAGCAGTTGCTTTACGCCGCCACGCATGGTTGAGGGCTTCAGGCCTATCCCAATCAGCCAGAACAGTGATAGAAGACCTCCCAATGGACGAATCCGGGCTCTTTAACCCAGAAACGGATTCGCAACTGGAACATACACAAAAGATGAGACAGACAGCTCACAAGTATGGCTTCTCTCCCTACCTGTCGCAGCACCACAGACAGTACTGGCCGAATCGTTTTCAGCAACATCGTAGACGCTACAGCCCTCCAAACTTCAGAGGACGTCAACGCCCCACTGCTCCACCAGCATCCATCAGAAAGCCATCTCTGCCATACAAGAACCAACAGCGTGGTGGAGGTAAACAGCCAGAGCGCCAGAAGCGCCGCTTCTAGCCCCCAGGCTAGAAGCGAATCACCAGTTACATCATCAGTTCCACAGTTTCAAAGTTCCACAGTTGGCTCCGTTGAGCTAAGTTCGTTATTTGATGGTTCCTTATCCTGCGATAGTTACCTGCCACAATATTCTCAAGGCACCTTCCGGGACCGGTTGGCGCCTTTCGTGCATGCTTGGAGAAGAATAAATATGGGTTGCTTACCTGTAAACATAGTTTCCCGAGTGGTAGCCTGTGTATTCACACCAATGGTAATCCCTGCACTCGCGCAGGCCAGCAACGGACATTCCCAAGCTACTAACTGACCGTTAGAGAAGCCCCGCCCCTTTCTCTCCACTCCATAAATAGCCGGTTGGCGCCTTTCGTGCATGCTTGGAGAAGAATAACCACAGATTCTTGGGTCCTTTCCATCGTGGAACATGGCTACGCCATAGAATTTGACTCTCAGCCCCCCGTGGGGGTGTTGAAATTAACACCATCCTCCCCACAGCTGCAAGAGGAAATTTCCACCCTCTTAGAGAAGGGAGCCATCTCCAGAGTCCACCCCGCGGAAGCTGGACGTTGCTTCTTCTCAAGATACTTCCTGATTTTGAAAAGGGGCGGTGGCCTCCGCCCCATATTGGACTTAAGAGACATAAACTACTTTATAAAGCCCCGCAAATTCCGCATGGTGACCCTAGCCTCCATTCTCCCGCTCCTGAGACTGAGAGCGTGGTTTGTGACACTGGACCTCCGAGATGTGTACTTTCATTTTTCAATAAGGGCAGATCATCGCAGATTCCTCTGTTTTGCGTTAGGCAACCAACTGTATTCGTACAATGTTCTTCCATTTGGGCTGGCCTCTGCGCCTCGTGTTTTCACGAAATGCATAGCAGTAGTAGCCGCTCACTTGAGACAGAGAGGAGTGACAATCTTTCCGTACCTGGATGATTGGATGATTACATCAGAATCAAGATCTCACCTCCAATCAGACCTTACCCTCACTCTGTCTCTCTTACAGAGCCTCGGCCTCATAGTCAACTTCGAAAAATCCAACCTGACTCCATCGAGACGCGTTCAATTCATAGGCGCTACCATAGATTCCATCGAAGAGAGGGCCTTCCTGCCAGAAGACCGCTTCCACGCCATCAAATCTCTTATAGACGACATCTGCACGCAAGAGAGAGCCACTGCATGGATCATTCAGTCTCTGCTTGGGCACATGGCCTCAACAACATCAGCCATCATGTTCGCGAGACTAAAAATGCGCCCGCTTCAACACTGGTTCCTCGGTGTTTTCAAGCCCCACCGAGACAGCCAAAACACCCAGCTATACCCACCACGGCATGTACTCTCATCCCTCCGATGGTGGACAAGAGAACAGCATGTCCTTGCGGGCATGCCGTTCAGACAACCGCAACCGTCCCGTTGTCTTACGACGGATGCTTCCATGCAAGGATGGGGGCCCCACCTCCGAGACCTGACGATACATGGAAAGTGGTCCCAGGGGGAAGCAACCTACCACATCAACTATCTCGAACTTTTAGCTGTCCAAAAAGCCCTGCGAGCATTCGAGTCCCAAGTCAACGGACACACCGTCCAACTCATAACAGACAATACGAGGGTGAAATGTTATGTCAACAAGCAGGGCGGGAGACACTCCTCCGATCTCCTCCACCTAGCCACAGAGATTTGGGAATGGTGTATTCCACGAGGGATCCTCCTCACAGCGATACACCTTCCAGGAGACGACAACACTCTTGCCGACACTCTCAGCCGGACTCAGTCATCGACACACGAGTGGCAGCTCCATCGGGACGAGTTCCAATTTCTAACTCGTCACTGGGGCCGGCCAAGGTTGGATCTGTTCGCGTCACCAAAGAACAGACAATGCGACATGTTCTGTGCCAGACTTCACCCCAAATCAGCACCGGGCTGCATGGGCGACGCCTTCTTATTCACCTGGGCCCCGGGCCTGCTATACGCTTTTCCTCCAATCCCCTTGATCCCCAGAGTACTGGCCAAGATGATCGAGGACAACACGGATGCCATACTAATCGCTCCATGGTGGCCACGGCAGCATTGGTTTGCCCCCCTCCTCAAGACCTCGGGCAGCGAGTATCTCCACCTGCGGGACAGACCAGACCTCCTATCCATCCAGGAGGGTCAGGTGCACCACCCCGATCTAGCCTCGCTGAGACTCACGGCGTGGAGAATTCGGCCCAAGCCCCACTCTCGGAGGAGGTGCAGCTCATAATCGCAGCAGCACAGAAATCTACGACCAAGAGAGCTTACAATTATAAGTGGTCACGTTTCCTTGAATTTCTCAAACCGCTAAATGTTGACCCTATGAAAGTCCCAACGAAGATAATCCTTGACTTTCTGGTACACCTCTCCAGCAAGGGATTGTCTCTGTCATCGATCAAATGCTACCTGCAAGCGCTCTCGTGGCGCTGGAGACAGGCAGGAAGACCATCATGCTTCCACGACCCTATAATCCGGCTTTTTCTCAAAGGGTACGCTAACTTACACCCACCCGTCATGCCTCCCCCCCCAGCCTGGAGCCTGGAACTGGTCCTATCGCAACTCTCCAGACCACCATTTGAGCCAATGGCCACCTGTGATTTGTCACATCTTTCGTGGAAGACCGCATTCCTTGTGGCCATCACATCGGCCAGGAGAGTGAGTGAAATCTGTGCCTTAAGGGTTGATCCACCATACTTACGATTTCATAAGGAGAAAGTGCTCCTTCGACCTGACACTGCATTCCTGCCAAAGGTTGTCTCGAAATTTCATTTGTCACAAGATATCTCACTCCCAGCCTTCTTCCAGAATCCTTCTTCTCCACTGGAAGCCACTCTGCATTCACTGGACGTTAGACGTGCCCTAGCCTTCTACACCGATAGAACGGCTCCTCATAGAAAGTCGGTAAAACTGTTTTTGAAATACCGTAAAGACTCTCTAGGCTTACCTGTGTCATCCCAACGCCTTGCTTCATGGATCGTTTCAACCATCAGACTAGCTTACCTTCTCGCAAAGAAAGATCCACCTCAACA